AACGTTCTTAAGGGCCACAATAATTCGATATTTCCCATCTAAGAACGTGATTCACACAACACTGTCGGTAGCAACCTGAATATTCATACCACTTTTCAAAAAAGTCTCCGAAGTACAGAACAAACATGATTATTTAATAATTTGCCCTGTCGATGCTTCATTGCTCTATTCTCGCATTGGTTACTTCACAAGCTTCCGTGTGAAGATTCTGTGAATTTGACAGGTTCAAGAACAAGAACCTGTGAATTTGAATCGGAGTCAAATTCACACAATAACTAAGCTGACTGTTTGCCTGACAGAATAATTTCCTCTATTAATGGGGCAGTTTCCACTTTTCCTTCAATATGAGGCCAAAAAATGTGGTGACCTTTTTTTGAGGGCTTAAAATTCAAAGTGCGGCGCAGTGATGAGCTATAACTCATTAGCGCACAGAGCGGCAACAACTGAACACTGTGTTACCCATGCCTAATGGTTAGGAAGTAGAGGATTTACCCACCCACTTACATGAGAGGTTCCCACCATGAATCTCAGGCCAACCGCAGCAAGATAACCGAATTTCTGGGTCATAACAGGAAATAAGGCTGTAGCTAATGTGGTGCAAGCTATTGAGCTCAATATGACTGGCCGAGCTCCGAACTTATCGGCCAACCATCCTCCTGGGACCTGAGTAAATGTGTAACCAATGTAAAAGGCGTAAAGCACCAGTGATTTGGTGTGTGCGGGCCAAGGAAATTTACCACCCTGAAAGCAAAAGGAATTTTTATTTTTGAAACTGTTGATAGTTTTTCGTCCATTTCAACTGTAGGTTTATTGGGAACATATTGAAGAAGCTGCGCAGTCCAAGAAGATATTTGAAGAGTCGGCCTGTGTCCCATTGATCCGTTTATACGATGGTACGATGATACGAAAGTGTTCCTATTGGTTGGAGATCTGTCAGTTCGTACGACGGCGGACGAATTGACGTATAAAAAAGCGTAATAACTGCACTTACAGATAGAGCTATAAAATTATCACTCCCAAATTACAGACAAGCAAATTTAAAAAAATCAGAAAAATATTACTTAATAATAACAAACAAAAAAAATTTTTTCGAACCAATAATAAAGCGAAGAATTAACAAAATTTACAACTCAAAAAAAACATGTAATAAAATTCCCTAATAATGCAGGTAAGCTGGTAAGTGCGCATAGGAACTTACCTCGTGGGTTTTATTCGGGGCGTTAAATTGAGGACAAGCCTGAAGATGTGCAGTTTCCTCCGGAGGCGGTTGAACCATTTCCACAATGGCTACATTCAGTACCACCCTGGTGGTGAAGTTGTTTTGCATGAACAAATGAAGCAAAAGTGCTAAAATGATCCGCTGAGGAAAATAATGACCTAAAAAATGTCTCCAGGTTTCACGTTTCCATTTAAAAAAAATGTAATTAATCTGATAACCATAGGGAGTTTTCACTTACTTCCACATCGACATTGAAAAAAACTGCAGCAGAAGACTGGCTTTTTATTTGCAGTTTCTTCACGTGCTTGACTGCCTGAAGGATTCGACATCGTTACTTCTAATGGAAATGTTGTGGGCGCACCAGGTATATTAGCTGATTCATGCCCAGGGACTTTGAAAAAGAGGTAAGCAGTCGGACTTACTTTTTGGATATTCTCAAACGTCCAAAAAATAGGTTGACCACTGTCATGTTGAAAGGGCTTACCAGTATGCTGTAGGGGTGAGTTATTGGGACTGCAGCAAAAAAGTCATAAAATTGGACCCTTTAATGTTTATTGCTGAAATGATGCAGTAAAGTCGGCTTATCATAAACCCGGTTATAGTGAACTTTCGGTTAAAACGAACTTTTTTCGTTTAATTGAAACGTCGTCCATAAAGACCAACGTATTTTTTTACTGGTTATAACGAACTTCCGTATATAACGATCATATTTTAGGTTAGTTGTATATTCACTTTCCGTTTATAACGAACTTCCACGCTCAGCAACACCAATCAGGCGGAGTTGTTTATATTACTGAGAGCCAGAGACAGGCAGCGACTTTCTTTTTTGCCGCGTTATGTATGTAAATGGTTTTAGAATGGAAAAACAAAAACGCAAAGCTTTTGCACTAAATGAAAAGTACGAGATTATTAACAAAATGTGGAGTAAAGCAGAACAGTAACATTTGTAAGGAATTAGCACTTGGAAAGTACTGTTGCAACAATATGGAAAAACAGAGAAAACATTTTATCAGCGTATGACAAAATAAATTTTAGAAGTAGGAAGTTAAAATTATCTGCACATGAAAAGGTTGACAAGGGACTTATTAAGTGGTTTCCTCAAAAAAGGCAAGAAAACGTTCCCATAAGTTGCAGTGTTTTGCAAGAAAATGCTAGTGAAATAGGGAGTAAAATCAAAAACAAAGAGTTTGCTTGTTCTAAAAGTTGGGAAGAGCGTTTCAAGAAGAGGCATAATATCAGTAGCGGAAAAATTGTTG